CTGAAATGCTTCAGATATTCATAAATCTAAGTTTACATTTGAATTTGATTTAACTCATAGTTAAATTTTTGAATTTTTACTTATTGATTTGAGAGAGAGAATGAGAGAAACACCAATTTGTTCACTTACTTATGCATTCATTGGTTGCTTCTTGTATGTGCCCTCACCAGGGATCAAACCCACAACCTTGGTGCATCAAGGGTGACACTCTAATCCAGTGGTCGGCAAACCACAGCTCAGGAGCCACATGCAGCTCTTCGGCCCCTTGGGTGTGGCTCTCCCACAAAATACCACACGCAGGCGAGCACGTACAGTGAGACTGAAACTTCGTGGCCCATGAGCAGAAGTCGGTTTTCGGCCTGGGAGAGTCTGTTTTGAAGAAGTGGTGTCAGAACACTCAAGGGGCCAAAGAGCCGCATGTGGCTCGCGAGCCTCGGTTTGCCGACCACAGCTCTAACCAACTGACCAATGTTTAATTTTTAATTGCTGGGAATGCAAAACGGAGATAAATGTCTGGAAAACTCAAAAATTCTATTCCAATGGTTATTGGAAAGTAGTTTCTGGTAAGTTGGGAACTTGTGTGAATTGCTCTCTTGTAAACCGATATTTGAGGAACTGGTTTCTAGCACCCTGGCCCCGTAGTGAACTAGTCACGTGGGAACTGGTTTTCTGGGAGCCAACTTCCCTCCAGGAGCTGGAGGACGCCCACAGGGGCCAATGAGAGGGCCCCAAGGAGCAGTGCAGCCTGACCCCTGCTGTGACCTCTGACCCACGGCCAGGACAGGCCATGTGTGGCGCTGGCCTGGTGTCACCCTGAAGGCCAGCCTGGCCCCTGAATTGATCAAATGTATGCTTATGGCCCCTGCTCTCATGCTGCCTTTAAGGTCCTAGAACTCTCCCCGCAGGGTCTGCAAAATGCTGCATCTGAGCTTGAAAATGAAACACGTGTTTCCTCTCAGTAACCAGGCTGCCCTGCCTTTGCCTCGCTAAGCTCTCTCCCTCCACTCCAGCATCTTCAAGCAACTGAACTCTCCAGAAGGTCCCAGCCCCTCCTAGGGCTTCCAGGAGGCTCTGCAAGGTGGAATGACCACAAGCAAGTTGCAGGTGGGCCCTCCAACCACAGCTCTGCTGTCACTAGCCATGGAGAAAATTACCCATCCTGTCAGAGCCTCAGTTTCTCCACCTGTAATGATGACAATTGTAATAGTAGCATGTAACTGATTTTAAAAGATCTTGTACATAAAGACTCAGGCCAAGGCCAGACCCTTGGCTAATCTCTCAGAAAACATCAGCTGGGCCCACTGCTGTCTTCTCAGTTGGCTCACTTGTCATGTGACTTAGTCCCGCCTATAAGGCCTTAGCCTGGCTGCCTCCATACCCAGGCACCAGATGCCCTCCCTTCCTCACCTCTCTAAAGCCTACTCCAGCCTCTTAAGTCAGGCTGAGTGGGCCCCGCCCCCTCCAGGAAGCCCTCCAGGACTACCCAGTGCTCAGAATCACTCCCTTCCTGGCCTGTAGGCCCACCATTTGTTCTTGTTGGAGGTGCTGTGTTTTCTACACAATGTTTGCCTGTGTGAGCGGACGCTAGCCCCTGCCCCCTGTGCAGGTTGGGACTGCTGAGGCCCTGGCCCCCACTCCTCACAGCCCCACCTTGGGAAGGGCCAGTGGAAGGGACCCCACACAGACCATGCCCTGCACCCATGGCCAGCAGAACCACAGAGAAACAGTAGCAGTTGGGTTTCTCTTGCAAGGCTTTTAAGTTTTCAAACTTCCCGGCTGTTTTGCAGCCTGAGAGCCTTGCCAGCCTTCCCCAGGTCTCTGAATCCTCCTTTCTTCCCTCTCTCTCCTCCCTCCTCTCACCTCCTAACTCCCCCCCACCCCGCCTCCACAAGATAACACAGCCAGGCCTCCCAGGACTCTGACGCCACTGACCCAGTTCCCACACAAAGGCTCCCCTGTGAGCAGATCACAGAACAGCAAGGCCACCATGCCTGATCCTTGCGCCCAGACCTCAGTAAATGGCGCCCAGAGCATGAATCCACCCCTGCTGGCACCTACCACGGCCGCACCTGAACCCCACCTTGCCCAGCAGACACTGCTGAGCCCCTCACAGTCACAGCTGTGCAGCCTTGCAAGCTGCATCTGCCTCCAGGCCACGCTACCCACCATCAACAGGACCCTCTGCATGCCCATCAGTCCTGCCCACTCCCCACCCCTATACACATACAAAGCACATAGAAGGCCCAGGAGCTCAATGACAAGAGAAGGGATCACCACAATTTTGCATCCGCTATTCCCCCTGTCTAGCAACCCTCCCCTGCTACCTACGTGAAATACCAACAGAAAACAGCACCAGAGAGGAATGCAGTCAGTGGGAACCGGCCTCCAAACCACAAATCTCACCTCCAGGCCCACCTCTTCCATGAAGCCTTCCTGGGAGCTCCCTGCTGGAGGCATGCCTGCCTCCCACAGTGTGGCAGTGTGCGCTGCCCTCTCCAGACTGGGCAGGGCGAGGAGAGAGAACCACGCCCAGGCGTCCCTGGGCTGGAGCAGGACACAGAGCGCCTTCTCCTCCCCACTCCCTGGTCCACAGGCTGTCTGTGCCAACACGTGCACACCTGACTCCAGTCCATCGCCTTCCCTGCAGCCTGGGCGGCTCTCAGATTCACCCAGGGCTGCGTCTCTGCGGCTGCAGCCAGGCAGCCAGGAGAGGCAGGTGTTCGGTAAATGCTGAGTGAAAACACAAGCTCTCCGGGCCCAGATTCTGGAATATATGTCCCCCACGAGCCTACCTGTACCTACAGGCCACAGAGACCCCCTGGCCCGCCTCACCTGTTCCTCCCCATCGTCTCATGGTCCTTGACCACCACGTGAAGCTCAGAGCTCTGGTCCAGGGGGATGCCCTTGAGGTCCCACTCAAAGCCCTGGGAGAAAAGGAGAAAGGACATCTCACTTAACCTGTGGCCGCCGAGAAGAGATTGTCTCGTTCACCCTGGTCCCCGAGGACACTGAGCAGGCATCCTTAAATGATGCTGGTGGATGGATGGGTAAATGAGTAAGTGAATGAATGAATGAATGAATGAATGAATGAATACAGGAATGGCAGGGTCCCAAAGATTCAGGGTAACAGTGAGAGCTGAAGGCAACAGAAGGGAGAAGGCCAGACTCCCATCACCTCTCCCCAATTCAATCCCACCGATCACCAGGCCTCGGAGCGCCACTGGGGAAAATGCCCGGGGTCCTGCGGGGTCCTCAGGGGCCAAGACCAATGTGCTCAGCCAGAAGCCAGGCCCCTCCCTGCTGGGCAGCAGGAGTCAGTGCCCCATTGGGGAGGCCCAGCCAGAGGCCCCAGGACCTTCCTCAGAGCAAAGGCTTCCCCGTGCAGCCCAGCCCCGTTGACAGAAGGCATCAGGACTTCCCAAGGACCACCAGGGAGGCCCATGAAGGGAGCTGGTTAAGGGCAAGAGGCCGGCAGGAGCCAGAGGAGGACCTGGTGCACCTGGGAGAATGCCCTGCGTAAGGCCGACAAGACAGGCAAGAGAGCCCCTCACCACCCTCTACCTGGCTGGCAGAGCCGGAGGGAACAGAGATAGACACTGACTCCTCCCCAGGCCACGCCCACTCTGTTTGCCTGGCACACCAGGCCACCACCCGTCCTCCCAGGTTCCCAGCGCCAGGAGGATTTAGTTGACACCCAGGACCAGCATGCCTCCCCTCCTTGAAAATGCCACAGAGAAAGCCCCTTTTGCATGAGCCCCTGACTTGTCCCTACGGAGGCAGTGGCAGCAGAGAGAAGAGGGAGGGGGAAGAAACCACATACCTCATTCCACACAGGGTTCACATTGTTCTTGATGACTTTGGTTCTCTTCTTCACCCCTGTGAGAGACACAACGAGGGAGTGAGAGACAGTCCCAGCCCTGCTCCTCCCCTCGAGAGGGGCAGCCTCTCAGACACGCCCTGCAGCTCACCTGCCAAGGAAACCTTACAAACCAGCGGCTGCCCTGAGAACCCCACCCGTCCGCCTGGCTGCCCAGCGCCATCACTGACTCCTCTCAGCTCTGGGATGGAGAAGCAGCAGCCCAGCAGAAGGCTGTTTTTTAAAGGAAAATACTCAGGATGACTCTTCTTAATGATTTGAAATTGTTATTCCTGACTTTCTAAATAACATTTTTCAATCGCACATTTTCTGACTCTAAGAATGAATGATCTTCGTTGAAAAGATTCCATTTTTCTTTTTCAAGCCATCCTCCTCCACATATTATGTGATTCCATTTACATGAATGTCCAGAATAAGCAATCCACAGATAAGTACTTTCCAGGGGATAGGGGGACATGGGGTTGGGGAGTAAAGGCTTAACAGAGGTTTCTTTTCGGGGTGATGAAATGGTCTGAGTTAGATAGTGATGATGATTGCACAGCAGTGTGAATATACTAAAAACTATTTAAAATATACACTTTTAAATAGTTAAATTGGTGAATTTTAGAGCATGTGAATTTTATCTCAATTTTTATTTTTTTAACGTATTTTTATTGATTTCAGAGAGGAAGGGAGAGGAAGAGAGAGAGAAAGAAACATCAATGATAAGAGAGAATCATGGATCAGCTGCCTCCTGCACGCCCCACACTGGAGACTGAGCCACCAACTGCGGCAAACGCCCTGACCGGGAATCGAACCGTGACCTTCTGGTTCATAGGTCAATGCTCAACCACTGAGCCACGCCAGCCGGGCTATTTCAGATTTTAAAGGGTCCAGCTTACCCTGGCCTTGAAGGGGTCTGTTTGAGCAGGCTTTCCCAAGGCAGGTTTATGTGTTCCCGAGGGCTGGGACGAGGTAACGCAGAATGATCGGGGTAGACAGACAACAAGAACTGACACTGTGGTGGTGAGCAGACCCACAGCGCCCCAGATGGCAGCCAGAGCCTTCCTCTGGAGCCCTGGGCCGAGGGCGTGGATGAGAAGCTGCTAAGCATGTCCCACTCTTCCATTAAGCACCCCAACAGCAATAGTTGTGTTCGAATGGGTGACTAAGTATGTTCAACCAGACACAGAATTCATATGTTCAACCCCACCTGTGTGAGGCTCCCCAGGAGAAGCCCTTGGTCTCCGCCTGCACTGCTCAGCTTTCACAGAGTCTGGACCATGAGAGCCCCTCAAGCCTGGGAAACTTCTCCCAGGACCCCGGGCCTCCTCGGAAGCAGAGCTGTGTCAGCGCTTATCTGGTTTCCATGAAGCGCAGCCTCCTGAGGGGCCAGCCCCATCTGGGATGTTTCAGAGCAGAAAACAGAGGAAAGCAGAGAGGGGTCAAGGACACGAGCAGGGTTTTGGGGGGGGGGGGGATCTGGAGGAGAGAAACAACAGAGAAAGAGCGAGGAAAGGAAAATTGTGGTGAAAGAAACTTCTGAGGGAGAGAGGCAGAGCAGGGCCTGGCAGATTCTAAGGCAGTTCTGTTGAAAATGGTTGCTCAGCCGAAACTGGTTTGGCTCAGTGGATAGAGCGTCAGCCTGCGGACTCAAGGGTCCCAGGTTCAATTCCGGTCAAGGGCATGTACATTGGTTTTGGGCACATCCCCAGTGGGGAGTGTGCAGGAGGCAGCTGATTGATGTTTCTCTTTCATCGATGTTTCTAGCTCTCTACCTCTCTCCCTTCCTCTCTGTAAAAAATCAATAAAATATTTTTTTTTTTAATGGTTGTTCAGCTTTGGCAAGTCTCCTTGGAGATTCTGACTAATATCCCCCAATGGGGGAGCGTGAGTTCCCAACCCCCTCTCATCCCCTGTGGCAAACCAGGAATGTAGGAAAAGAACCTGAACTTTGGAATGGCACAGATCACCATAGAACACTTTTTTGAGGCCGGAGGGCGGAGGGGGGGGAGGGGAAAGAGGAGTGGAGGGACGTCACTCTTAAAAATTATCGAGGACCTGCCACAACCAGTTTGGCTCAGTGGATAGAGCATCAATCTGCGGACTGAAAGGTCCCAGGTTCAATTCTGGTCAAGGGCATGTACCTTGGTTGTGGGCACATTCCCAGTGGGGGTTGTGCAGGAGGCAGCTGGTCGACGTATCTCTCTCATCGATGTTTCTAGCTCTCTATCCCTCTCCCTTCCTCTCTGTAAAAGGTCAATAAAATATAATTTTAAAAAATTATTGACCACCTTCCGTCGCTATCACTGTAGATGTTAACACAGTGTAAAGGTAAATATTGTAGCATCTTAGTGATTCTGTGAGGACAGTTTTGACCTTGCTGACCTGCTCAAAGAGTCCTGGACACTTGACAGGGGTCCATGCACAACACTGGAAAACCTCTTAAGGACCTTATTAAACACTTTAGCCTCTGTTTCTTCATCTGTAAGATCATAATAATGCCTCCCCGTGGGGTTGTTGTGAAAATTAGACAAGATAGGATGCGTGAGGTGCCCAACACACAGCATACTCATTAAACGTAAGTTTACCACCCTCCCCTCCCCTCTGTGCCCCACCCAGAAGCATTTAGTGAACCCCTACTGATTCCTCAATACCCAGCTCATTTTCTCCTCTGAGAAGCCTCCCTTAGAGTTGTACGCTGTGACCACAGGTACCAGACAGCAGGATAACTGTGCTTCTATGGCTGTCCTCCCAATTGGACCATGAACTTCAGAGGGCAGACACCATGCCTTACCATGCTAGTAACCCAATATATAGCGAGGTCCCCAGTAACGGGGCGCTGAATGAATGAGTCCTTTTCCAAGTTGGCTGCACGTTCACTTCCTCACCGGAGGATGGAATCACTGTTCTCAGAGGACGCCATTAGACTGCATTAACAATATGGCTGTGCGTCAACGAATGGAGGGGATGAGAGGAAGCACAGGGGAGGGACGTCCTGGGAGGAACCCAGTTTTCTTATCAAAATGGCCCATGTCTGCCCTGACAGAACCACCCTAAATCTCTGGTGGGCTCTGCTGGTGTGGCTCCAGCGGGCATCAGACACATGGCTTTGGAGTCATTCAAACAACTCCTGTGTGACCTTGGGGAGGGCTTATAACATCTCTAGGCCTTAGTTCTCTCAGCGATAAGTTAATCATGGTGAGTGTCTACTGTACGGGGTTTGAAAGGATATAAGACGCTATCTAAGCATCTGTGTCCCCTCCTCTATCAATTCCTGGGATCTACAGGAGTGACATGGAAAATTCCATCTGCAGCCTCTCTGGAGTCATGCAGTTGGAAGCACTTCCTGGTGCTCCTGACTACTATTAATTAAGGGGCGTCTGTGTGCCAAGCCCTGTGCAAAATGGCTTTCAAATAGTTTCCATTTCCTGCCTTCCCTGAGGATGACGGGAACAATGGCCCTCAACTAGGTTTCACGAAGTCCTGGTTACAAGGGCCAACTCTGGGCCCTCTGGATGGCACTGAGGGGTCACTGATGGGCACTAAAGCCCCAAAGAGGAGCAAGAAAGAAATGAAACAGTAACCCAACACAATCACATGCCTTACAGGCGCCGAGAAAGAGGAAGGTACGCTGCTAATTAGGAAACAGTTCCTTCCTCATCGTGAATTTAGATTTGTCCTGTCCTTGCTAATCAACTCTGGCCTTAAGAGATGTGGTTTTATGCACATATAATAGACTCAATAATTAAAGATACGGAAGAGCTCACAGCTGGGGTTAGGGAGGGCTATGCCCCCTCCCGGGGTTGCTCAGCAGAATATTGGGGACCAGCAGGCGTTCATGGGAATGGTGCTGAAGTCATGGGGTGATCCTCCAGACTGAAAAATCAGTGAAAAGGAATACACCTACTCTTCTGTTCCCCGTGGCAATTCACTTGTTTCCTCAAGCCTAACCCACACAACTCAACCCCACAGTCCTAGACCACAATGTCCCATGACTGAATGGTGGTGATTTTCAGTCTATTCATTGGGACCCAATAGAGGGCTGTGGGAAGCGGTTATAGGGTTAAGCCTCAGACTGACCTGCTGGCAAAGTCACAAACAAGTCCCAGCTTGGAGGGCACAGTCCTCTCAGCATAATTAAGCTTGATCTTGTGACTGTTACCCAGATCTTTCCTGGGTAGCTAGTGGGCAGCAAGTGCTGCCAAAACAAGTGAAACTTACAAGAACATTATAAATTGCCTTGTTTGCCTCTGATTATACATAAAGCATCAGCTTTGCAGTCTGAGTCTCTTCTGTGGCCTTAGCCAGGCATAGAAGATCCACCCAGACCCAGCTTTTTGTCTTTGTCTATCTTTATTCTTCATCCTTCACTGGCCCTCCCCCAGGCTCGCCAAACCCTTGGCTGTGCTGGCGAGGCTCAGAGGACCATGACATCAATTGAGTAAGTTGACCAATCTGTCTTTTTTAATGACAGAGCAGACTAGAGAAGAAAATCTCAGAGTATGTCTTTGGTCAGAAAAGTCCTGTTACTTAAAACTTTTGATTATATTGATGATTCTCTCTCATCATTGATGTTTCTATCTCTCTCTCCCTCTCCCTTCCTCTCTGAAATCAATAAAAGTATATCTGTTTAAAAACACTTTTGATTATATTTTCACATATATATGCATCTAAGCGTACCACAACTTAATGTAAAATATGAATCTTGTTGTATGTAACAGTCCAAAAAGTTTGAAAATATTGCCTTAAAGGAAGATTGTCCGAGGAGAACTAGAGAACAAAGAAATCCCCATCCTGGCCTTTGAGTGCCAAGAGCCAAGGTGTGTGGCAGGAATGGCGTAGAACACGGTCCTGGTCCCCGCTGAAGCCAACGCCAATAAAGACCATGGGCTGAGGGAGGGGACGTGAGGAGGGCCTCAGAGACAGGTCAGGAGCCAGATCATCCTGTCCCAGCTGGGACCACCTGGCTGAGCAATCTCCACTGACAAGAGCCCCACGTACATCCTGACACCTAAATGCCAGATGTGGCCATGGCCTTGCATAAGGAGCCCTTCTGCTCATCACCTAGTAACATCCCCCTACCAGTGGCCAGGTACTGTGCCCCCAGTGGTCTGGGCCCATCTGGTGGGGACAGATACCTTTCAGAGGCCCAAGATGCTTGTTAGCCCCCCAGGGTCTGGACACACACAGTGGTTACAGTGTGGAAGGAAGCACCCAGCCCATATCAATCTTCAGTAGCCAAGACAGGACAGACCCCCAAACCCCCCCCCCCGCCCCCTCAACTCAATTATAAAGGTAACAATACATTTGGGAAGCAGATGAAACACTGGGTTTTGTGACACTGATGACAATGGGATCTTTGGGGCCGGTGGGGTCACGGAGAAGACAAACTCTAAGGCAGGTGCTCAGAGGGTGCACACCACAGTCTGTACCGTGGGAGAGTTTCATGCCTGATGAAGGATGCTTAAGGAAAGGCTGAGGAATACTGGTCCATTTCCCTCTGCATCTCTAGGCACCAAGGCCCAAATGTCCATGGACAGATAAATGGATAAACAGAATGTGAAATAGCCATTAAAATTGAATATTATTCAGCCTTAATAAGGAAGGCAATTTTGATGCACGCTTCCAGATGAACACTGAAAGCATTATTCTAAATGAAATAAGCCAGACACAAAAGGACAAATACTATATGATTCAACTTAGGTACCTGGAATGTCAAATTCATAGACACAGAAAGTAGAATAAAGTTACCAGGGGCTGGGGCAGGAAGAGTGGGGAGTTGTTATGTAATGAGGATGGAGATTCAGTTTGGGATAATAAGAAAGTTCTAAGGATGGATAATGGGCATGCTTGCACCACAATGTGAATGTGTTGAATACCACTGAATTGTATTTAAAATGGTAAAGTTGGTTAACGTATATTTTATCACAATAAAAATAATTTTAAGGCCCCAAGAGTGAAACAACTCAACACTTAGAGTTGCTGTCCCTAGTGTGTGAGGGACACTGACTTTCATGAGGAGAATGATGTTCAAAAGTATACAGACCTTTTCCTGTACCTGTTATGTGCTTGGTACAAGTCTGGGGCAGGATCAGTTAAAGGGGGTGCAGATGCCACAGCCACCCTGCCCTCCTATCCAATCAGAGAAAGAAGCAACCCCACTTCCTGGAGCTGAAGGTGTCGGGAAAGGACCTGATATTCCCAAGACTGGCCCACTGAACCAGCATCCCGGCAATCACATCCTTGCATGGTGCCCCCCACATTGATCTGGTCCAGCCCTGGAGCCAAAGGAGGGCCAGCAGCTTCTACGGGCCCCCAGAAGCCCTGAATGTCCATGTAAGAAGTGCAGCTACTCTGCTGGAGGGATGTGCCAGAGAGACAGAGAGGCCCAGGGGTCTCCACACCTAAAAGCAGGGACAGGCACAGGCTATATGAAAATCCAGCAGGGCCCTAGCCAGTTTGGCTCGGTGGATAGAGTGTTGGCCTGTGGACTGAAGGGTCCCAGGTTCGATTCCGGCCAAGGGCACATGCCTGGGTTGCGAACTCAATCCCCAGTAGGGAACGTGCAGGAGGAAACTGATCAATGATCCTCTCTCATCACTGATGTTTCTATCTCTCTCTTCCACTTCCTTCCTCTCTGAAATCAATAAAGAAATATATATATATTTTTAAAAATCCAGCAAGGACCCAAAGAGATATTTAAATGCCCATATTTGCCGGGACCGGTTTGGCTCAGTGGATAGAGCATCAGTCTGCGGACTGAAAGGTCCCAGGTTCGATTCCGGTCAAGGGCATGTACCTTGGTTGCGGGCACATCCCCAGTAGGGGGTGTGCAAGAGGCAGCTGATCGATGTTTCTCTCTCATCGACGTTTCTAACTCTCTGTCCCTCTCAATTCCTCTCTGTGTAAAATCAATAAAATATATTTTTAAATGCCCATATTTGCAGCAGCATTATTCACAGTAGTTAAAACGTTTAAACAGCCCA